TAATCAACATCCCTAAGCTCAATACTTAGACTGGAGAAGAATAATCGACATCCCCAAACAAATAAGCTCATCCCTCTAAAAATGGAACCCACAACATGTTCCTCCACAAGTTCAGTTACAACCTTCATTTTACCAAAATCTTGCTCCGCTTACAATGATAAACCTAGATCTTTTACATACAAGAATTTGAGGAAATTTAGGTATAAAAGTGAAATAAATTTCTCTTCGAAATCCGAATTTGACACGTGCAAAAGGCGACAATAAATTTGTAGTGTTTATAGTACGACTAACCAAATAGATGAAGGGCGCCGGCGGTCGGTGGTGGAAGGCGGCGAGACGTCGAGATATGAGAGACCTTTACCTTCTTCTTCTGCCGATGGACGGCATCGAGGCGAGAGACTCAGAGACGAGAGTGAGATTGTTGAGAGAAGTAATTAATACAGTAATATAATTTTGATTTAGTTTGAATGGTATTAATCAAAAATGATATTTTTTTAGGACAGTCAGCCTAATTTTCCCCAAAATATTCTCAATAACCATTTCCCCATTTCTTTTCTATTTTGAGTTAATCAAGTGGATTGGATAAATTCTTCTTATGTTGGAGTTAAATGGATCCAATTTGAGTTTAATCGAAGTCGAGTCGAGTAAGTCCTCCAATTGAAAGATATGAACGCCTTATTTTCATATGTGTATATAAAAATATATTCAAATTTTGAAATAAAAAAAAATATATGATAAGTGCATATTTGGTATTGAATATGAACGGCAAATTATTATTATTATTATTATTGAATACCAAATGATGAAATAGATTAGATCTTTATCAAACATCCATCCTAGGATTCGTCTTGAACAAATATCCTTGGTGGTTCTATACCAACTACCATAACAATAACATTCATTATTTTTTTGGAGCCTTTTGCACGATGTATTAATGAAAAATTATACGTAGTCCTTTTTCTAAACACAACTTATGATAAATCAATTCAAATTTTAAAGGAGTTTATCCAATTATCAAATACCTATTCAAACCCCAATTTCGTGTTCTTGTTCCTTAAATAATTTATACTTCATTGCTTTGTACAAAACTGTTAAATGATATTCTGTAAACTACTTGACGGAAATACTTAAAAGCAATTTGAGAGGTGGTAAATATCAATTTTTAGAAAAGTGTATTATATATGTGTTTCGGGCCTTATTTTGATTTTCTTCATTTTGATTAGTGTTTCCATTCTCCTTCTACTCTTCTTCATTATTTTTATCAACAATCTAAAAATGATTTCCTACTGCGATGGAGACAAAAAATACTCTAGCAACCATGAATCAAGACTTGGTTTGATTGGATAGGTTCGATGGAACAAATTTCACCCAATGGCAACAAACTAAAATTTATGTTGACAATATTGAAGACATTCACTGTTGTTCTTGATCTAAATATTGCACCAATTTCCGAACCATCCAATAAAGATTTCGACGAAGTATGGGTTGAGTGAAAGAAAAGACAAGAAGATATACTTGTCTGTTACGATAACATTCTAAATGCCCTTTCTGATCAATCGTATGATCTCTACACAAGCACTAGTTTGGCAAAAGATAGGAAGCACTTGAGAAAAAATACAAAGGCGAGGAGGAAGGTACCAAGAAATTTTTAATTTCAAAATATTTTGATTTTTAAAATGTTTGATAATATTTTATTGTTGCCTCAAGCACATGAACTTCAAGTTATTGTAAATAAGTTGAAGGATGTTAAAATCGAACATCATGAATCTTTTTACGTTGGTGCAATCATTGCAAAATTGCTATCAACCTGAAAAGGGTTATAGGAAGAAATTTCTTCATGAGTCCGAGGATTTTTTTTGGTAACACATTCAAAAGCATA